AGTGGCCACCTGAGGAGAATATGGATGTAGTCTCAGTAGGTAGTCAGATGCTCAGTGTCAGCCCCCTGATGAGAAAGTGTGGGTCCCTAAAGACTTGACAGTCAGACTGCATGTTCTTCTTGGCTGCTTGGCCACTGCTTTCTGTTCTGAAAGGAGTCAAGCTTGGTGTTAACAGGTGAAGGAATTAGAGTGGTATAAACTGGGAAGAACTGCAGCAAGGAAGAGACAAAGATGAAAGGATGTGCTTGTCTGGGGAAATGAGTGAGTGTTACAGTTACAAGAAAAATGGAGGGAGTGAGGTAGAGAATTACATGGGGAGAAGAAATACAACAGTTAAAAAAGATCTGACAAATAATGAATGGCCAGCCTGCTCACTTGGTTTGATAATATTTATATTAGAGGGTTTCGTGCCAGAAAGCCACAGAAAGCATGTATTATTTTTGTCAATACGTATGGCAGTCACTAGAATTAGCAGTTAATGGTAAGTATTTGACTGTATTGTCCCAAGTTTTTGTGGGATTTCAGAATATCACTTGTTTCTGTATTTTTAAAATTGACAGTGTAGCAGAACTCTGTAATTCTCACAGAAATATACACTGTGTTGTATATAAAGGCGTGTGACAGTGGATGTGCAGCCAGTTTATTAACTTTGACATGGTTTATCAGCAAAATTGCTTCTTCTTTATCGTGTCTTCTTGGCAAATACCAGCTCTGTTACAGACACTCTAGATGCCCGAGGGGAATTGGAACCAAGAATATCCTTTGTCTATTTCCTCTTGTTTGTTTTTAATGAAAAAGACAGAATTAATTAATGTTTAGTTTGTGAATTATTGAGTGTCAGTGAGAGAAACTGACGAACACAGCATGTCTGTTTCCCATTACCATGGAGGCTCAAGTCCTTAGGAGCTTGTGCTAGAAGAGTGTAAGGTGCCTCTGGCAGTGTAACTGCTGGCGTTACAACTGCTGCTCCTTGGGCAGGGCCAGACTGCTAAACTGTGGTTCTCATACATGTTGCTGTCCATGAATCAGTTACGCCCCAGTCTTCATAGGAAACAGCCGGGCTGATGGGTAAGCTATTCATGAGTCGTGGAGTGGGAAGGTGTGTGCTCCTTGGCTGGTAGTAATGGTGGAATGTACATGCTTCTTGCTATCTTTTATCACCTTTTGCCACCTCTACTCTGCCGTTTTGACATAATGTTAAGTCCCATCCTCACGTAAGAGATTGTGTTCAGAAAAGAGGCATTTGAGAAGTTGTGGCATGACCACATATTATATTACAGTCGTTGAGATACTGTTTGTTTAGTCTCCTTTGCAGGTATAGTCTTATATAAACTAAGAATACATGTATATGTATTACACTCACATTTCAAGCTGTGTTAGTTGGTCTGCATCTACCTTCAAACCTGTCTTTTTGCCTTATCCCCTTCCTTATACTCTTACGTGAACAACAGTGCTAACAGTATATCAAATCTGTGTTTGAGATAAGTGAAATACACCACATATCTACTTCTACCGGTCATAGTATGTCTGAAGCTACAAACTGGAGACATGCTAGTTCCTTAAGTAATAAAAACGTTGCATCATGAAGGAGAAAGGTTTTTGTTTTAATTTTTACACCGTACTTTCTGTATTCATTTTCTTCATAGAATTGGCTTTGCCTGAGTTGTCCTTGCTAAATAAATAATTCATGATCTTTAGTGCACAGGTAGAGCCTTCGTTCCCTTCTGGTTGCAATTACATGAGGTAGAAAATTAAATGTAAATAATGTGTTACTCTTGTGATTTTTTTCCTTTTGTGCCTGGTTTTATATATTAAAATGTATTATCCTTTTAGGAAGCTACTGTAGGAAAGCTTTCAGGAATTCACATGATAGTTGCACATTGCAGACTATGCAAGCTGCCTGAAGCCAGGGATCACGAGAAGTGACATGAAGGGTGAAATCAATAGCCCGGCTGAAGTGCATCTACACCAATGCATGTGTAACTGGCAGTGTTACCAGTATGGGTAATAAGCAGGAGGAGCTGAAAGCCATTGTGCAGCAGGAAAGCTATGACATAGCCATCGTTAAGGAACTGTGGTGGGATGGCTGGAGTGCTGCAGTGGATGGTTATAAACTTCTCCAGAAGGGACAAGTGAGGAAGGAGAGGTGGTAGGGCGGCTCTACATTAGGGAGTGTTTCAACTATAAAGAGCTGAAGGACAGTGATAAGGTTGGGTGCCTGTGGGTAAGAATCAGGGGAAGGGCTAGGAAGGCAGACATCCTGGTGGGAGTGTGTTACAGACCACCCAGCCAGGATGAAGAGGCAAAGTATTCTATACATAGCTGGCCGATGTTTCACAATTGCCAGCTGTTGTTCTTGTGGGAGGCTTGAACTTGCTGCATGTCAGCTGGAAACTTGACACAGTGGAGAGGAGGCAGTCAAGAAAGTTCCTGGAGTGTGTGGAAGATAACTTCCTGACACAGTTGGTAAGTGAGCCTACCAGGAGCTGTGCCCTGCTACGCCTGCCATTTATGAACAGAGAAGGGGTGGTGGGAGGTGTGGTGATTGGAGGCTGTCTTGTGCGCAGCGACCACAGAATGATAGAGTTTTCAATTCTCAGTGAAGTAAGGAAGAGGGTCAACAAAACCTCTGCCTTGGACTTCTGGAGGACAGTCTGGTCATATGGATCTGGACAGGCTGGATTGATGAGCTGAGGCCAGTGGTATAAGGTTCAATAAGGCAAACTGCTGAGGCCTGCACTTGGTTCACAACAACTCCATGCAGTGCTACAGACTTGGGGCAGGTGGCTGGAAAGCTGTCTAGCAGAAAAGCATCTGGGAGTGCTGGTCAACACCCATTTGAACATGAGCCAGCACTCTGCTCAGGTGGCCAAGAAGGCCAATGGCATCCTGGCCTTTATCAGAAATAGTGTGGCCAGCAGGACTAGGGAAGGAATTGTCCCTCTCTACTCAGCACTGGTGAGACCACGCCTTGAGTACTGTATCCAGTTCTGGACTGTCATTGAGGTGCTGGAGCACATCCAGAGAAGGGCAACAAAGCTGGTGAAGGGTCTAGAGAACGTGTTCTGAGGAGTGGCTGAAGGATCTGTGATTGCTTAGTCTGGAGAAGAAGAGGCTCAGGGGTGACCTTACTGCTTTGTACAGCTGCCTGATGGAAGGTTGTAGCAAGGCAGGGGTCAGCCTCTTCCCCCAGATAGCCAGTGACAGGACAAAAGGACATAGCCTCAGGCTGTATGAGAGGAGGTTCAGGCTGGACATCAGGAAAATATTTTTCACTGAAAGGGTGGTTAAGTATTAGAATAGGGTGCGCAGGGAAATGGTGGAGTCAATCACTGGGAGTGTTCATGAAGTGACAGGATGTGGCATTTAGTGCTATGATTTAGTTGGCATGGTGGTGTTCAGTCAAAGGTTGGACTTGATCATCCTGCAGGTCTTTTCCAGCCTTAATGATTCTATTCTGTGAACATGAGAAGTTTCCAAATACCATGTAGCAGTTCAAATGAAGCATTTCCAAGTGTTCCCTTTGTTCTGTTGCTCTTTGAAGAGCTAGGTGCTTTAGAGAGTTTATCTTCGTGGTACCAAAATTTGACCTCTGCTTCTATTGCTTAATAGTGTTTTCAGCTTTATACATCTAACTGTATTAAGTCTCTTTTCAGTTCTTTGTCTTTGACTCTTAAAACCACAGGAGATTTCACACCTTCTGCTTTTAAGGTTTATGTTGGGCTTTTTTGTGTTTGAGTTGCATATTTCCAATTCCTCTAAAACAGTATTGTTTGAGAAGTGGCAAGGTATCTGAGTGACACAGACCTTTAACAAGTCTGTATTTTGAAGTAATTTTTAGCTAGAAGCTTTCTAGGAAATGGCCTTTTTTTACCTTTGTTTGCCATGGCAACAAACTCTGTGGTTTAAGGGAGACCACCCATCTTGTAAAATACTCTGGTTCTCCAGCTTTGTATAGTTGGCTCCACTGCCTTTGTCTTTGGTTTCCTTGGGTCTAAAGAATGTTATGTTTATTAATTGCAGCCTACAAAATTTATGTAAAATCTGTTGTACAGAGTAGGAGAAAAGTGCTTCTGGCTAGATGGGACTGGTAGTCTTTGATACTGACTAATTTTGGTTCCTTATGGGGTGTTTGTTTTAACTCTGTATATATACTACTAATGAGTGGACATTCCTGCCACATGCACAGGTTTGAACACCATATAATTCTGCAAGAAAGCTAACACAATAGAAGCAGATTTGTAAAGCATAACAGTTAGCAATGAGGTCCTAATATCCACAGTATTGTGTATTTGGGCTAGCCATAATCTGGTCCCATGGACTGAGTGGTGACTGCTGGTTTAAGTGCACTGGTTTCGTGCCTGGAGCACAGTTTGTAAAGTCTAGGTTCACCTGAAAAAAATTTGCTTATTGTACTATAGAGTGAGTTACAGAGGACTGTCAAGAAAAGCAGGCTCCTGATCGAAACCAAAACATAACACTGACACACCCTACATGTATGAGAATTTAACCTATAGAGCCATGGACCTTTTGATGTAAATTGAAGTTGCTCCTACTGTTAAGTGCCGAAAGTCTGCAGTTTGAATGGCTGTGTCAGCCAAGATGGTGACCACCATATGCAAATAAGATTTTATTTAAAATTCAAACTAATGATAGCTCATTAGTAGCTTTAGCGTTAAGGGACAAAATAAGACACTTCAATTGCTCGTTTGTAATAGTTCAGACTTCTTAGCCACTATCAATTTTTGGCAAACTTGCTTAGGAACAATAGTTTTGAAACTGTGATGGGTTTTGTTGGCTTAAAGTAAAGCTTTTCTGTTTAACATACAACCTCTGTACAACCAAATCTCTAGCAACATAACATAATGACAGAATTATAAGTTACTAGAGCTAAAGGAGTAAAGAACAAAATTATTGTACTAAAAGTGTACTTGATCTGTTTTTACTCTAACCTTTGGAAATGTTTTCTGATGCTTGCAGGTGGCACTTCATATTTCAATATGGACTGTTTTGAAGACATATCAGATGGTGAAGTGGACCATGCTTTCTTTGACAGTGATTTTGAGGAAGAGAAAAAGAAGCCTGAAGAAAATGGTGAATGTATAGAGAAAGAAAGTACAAAGGCAGCTCTTGCAGACACTGATTTGCTTTCTAATTCAAAGGATAATAAGTGTTGTGAGGAGGAAAGTGAAGAAAAGCAGGTAGATTCGCCTAAGGATCAGTCCCTAGAAAATAGCACATGTCATCTTGAAGATGCTTCATCTTTGTCAGTTTCTCCAGTTGTGGAGAATGCAGGTACCTCTGGAGCAACACCTGCAGCAGATAGAGGAACACAGGAGAATGTTCTTGCTGGAATCCCCAAAATAGTTAAAGAAGGTGAAGAGGATTATTACACAGATGAAGAAGATAGTAGTGATGATGGCAAAAACCAGAAGGTTAGACCAAAGTCAGCTAAGCAACCAAACAACATAAAAAAAGCTAGCAAAAAATATACTAATATCAGCTCTTCCTCCTCTTCTTCCTCCTCCTCGTCTTCCTCATCCTCATCCTCAAGTTCAGATACAGATTGTTCTGACACAGATTCTGATAGCTCTTTATCAGATTCATCTCATTCTTCCTCAAGGAGGAATATATGTAGAAATGCTCTTCTGTGCCCAGAACAAAAATTCAAGTCAGCAATGAAATTAGCAGAAGGAAAACCAAGGCTTGGTGACTACTTGGAGGAGTCTGAAGACACAGTGACCGATGTAACACCTCTGTCAACTCCAGACATCAGTCCTATCCAGTCTTTTGAACTTACAGCATCAAATGATAAGAAATTAAAAGTAAAAAGACAGGAAAATGTGAACCAAGAATTATATGGTAATTTTGAGAATTTAAGTCTAACACAAAATTTGCAAAACGTGTGGGGCTGGGGAATCCAATCTTATGTCTGTATTTTTCTCCGTTAGATTCCGAGTTTGATCGCAGATATAGTCGAAAAGTCTTGCATGATGCCATGGACCTGAATCAGCTTTTGAAAGGTAACATTTAAATTTTCTTTTTAGAAAGTACAACATCTGTACGTTGTTGAGAATAATTGAGTTCTAAGAAAGGAGAATGAGGTTTTGATATGCCACGTGTATTTTAAAAACTGGTTAGTGTTTAAGTGGCTCTGATCTTATTCTTTGAATTCTTCTCTAATAGCACTGATTGTGCAGTAGAAAAAAGAAGCACATGTATGAGCATGTGTTGGTTGCCCATACCTAGAAGTAAGATATAGAGATGGGGTGAATATAAAAAAGATTTCATATATTAACAGGCTGAATAATGAAACTACGCATGCATTTTGAGAAATCGAGGTGTACTGGACTATGCCTTATTATACTGTCTAAAGTAAAACACCAACCTTTCTGATAAAATTCTGGATTATCAACCTGAAAAATTGCTAGACAGTCCAAAGTTACACTGCATGATGATTAGTATTCATATATTTGAACTTCTGCTACCTTTTTGATAATGAAAGGGAAGTATGTGAAATTGTTTTTCTGAACTCCGTGTCTGCCTTCTAAAATACCATAAGTTGAGTAAAGGTATTTTAAAAAGAAAACTAGCAGATAATCTTTACTAAAACATGAGTTGTTGCTTCTGGCCAATAGACTTAATAAGTCTTAATAATGAAGCCTAAGACCGAACTTAGAATCTCTTTCACTGCATTCATTGCAAACCTTCATTGTAAGGGGTGAGAATGTACTTGATCTTATGTGCGTATTTCAAGGTCTTCGCAGTGTTTTTCCATTTGTTTCATGGCCCAGAGTTGTCACTAGTAAAACCTATAGAATAAAAGAGCTTGGATGAAGAAATTTGCTGATCTCAGGTGGGGAAAGCCTCTTACCGTTTAAGTCCAGTACATTTCAAACCAGGTTTGCTGTACTGAAGTAAGTCTGGCATGAGTAAAACTGTATGTGTTGTCTTTCTTCACTCTGCACCTTACCAGACTGAGCTTCTAGTGAGCCAGGATTCAAAATACATTGTATACATGATTTAACTTTCCTATGAGCAGAAATGAGGATCTTACTTGTATGGAAATGATTCAGATGGTAAGAAAAGCAACACCAGCTATCAAGAAAGGTACAGCTTATTCTCATCTCTGACAGTCCTTGTGCTTCAGCCACTCTTTCATACTAGAAAAGACTCCAACCACATGTCAGAAGAGTCATTGCTAGGCAGTTGAAATTGTGATGTCCTATGTCTTTATTTGTTCCCTGATAGCAGGAAGCTATTTAATAACTGGTGATTATAGAACTATTCATCTCATCCCTAAAACAAATGGGTATCACAGCTCAGAATAGGTATTGTCAGAGATGACTCTTTTGGGGGGAGGAAGTTTTTTCTCAGAACTGAAAACCAGTTCAAATAACAATAATAAAGATGGAGTAGTGAGAAGTAGAATTCATATAGTCAGGCAGCTAATATTTGTGATTAATGTGCATATTACTCCCAAGTGCCTCTCTAAATCAGCTAGCACAACATACCTTAATTAATTTGGGCATTTTTAAGTTTAAGTGGAGCAGGATTATTAATGGTGGAAAGTAACTAGTCTGGGAAAGTAGGAGCTAATCTTGTTTTGACTTATTGCTTCCAAGTTTTTCTGTACTTGTGCTTGATAGAAACCACAGTTTGTTATACTATTCTGAATAAGATAAAACCTCATAAATAACAGTTCTAGTTGGAAGTCTCATAGTCTCCATGCTGTATAGTGTGCTTTCATTGGTTTTTCGGTAGGTATTGCTGATTTTAGAAACATTCTTTAGTGGCCAGAACTCTGGAAAATAGTTAGATAAAGATCATAGAATTAAAGGTATGTCATAACATTTGGTTCCTAAATCTGAAAGTTGTCATTTTATCTGTGCTGATATGAAGCGTGTGCTGCCAGGTACTGCAACTTGCTGTGCAGCCCCTGTTCACCCTGTGGAAAATAACTGAACTGGTTTCGGTCAAAATGACACAAATATACTTTGTAACAGTGGCTGGAGGTGAAGTGAATATTATGCTTGAACAATGGAGAGAAACTGCATATTGCCAAAGAGTCAGACAGCCACACTACTTAGGAGTTCAGATATCAGTGTGACAACATAGGTACTCACAATTTCAGTTACTCAAGGTTAGTAGGATCTTTACAGACCTCACCTCACTCTTTACCTCTCTTTTTTTTCTCTACCTGCATGGGAAAAAATATGAGTGATTATAATTTCTCAGGTAGAAATAGTTTTCCAGTTGTTTCTTGGTGTTACAGATTTTTGTATGCAATTCTTTCGTGATGCAATGCTGTTTACACTTTGCTGTAAGCATTAAAGATATTTCAGAAAATTAATAACTAAGAGCAGTATTCCAAACTCATGCTAATAAAAAACATCAGTTTTCTCCTCTGATGTACTCATGAGTAATCAGAACACAAAAAAGAGAATTAAGTATGACAATGCAAAGACATAGATTGTAAGAAAATTAGTTTTGAAAGTACTTTCATAAAGCACCATGTTAGAAAGTAGAGAATTAAAAAAATGGGAAATTTTCTGATGCTATTTTTCTTGATTCTGTGTCTTGATGCAAGGTCTCACGTAATTTTATGGAATTGAGGTTATGCAGATAAAGACATGGGTTAAGTATATGAGTGTGAACTAAGCACTCATCCTTCTCCATTATGCCACAGACTTGCTCTCTGTCTTTAGGCAAGTCTCTTGATTTCTGTAGTTCAGAATACAAACTTGTATGCTAAAATTGCTGTGCATCTCTTTGATTTTATGTTTGGTATCAATACAGTAGGGATAGCACAAGGTATATACAGTGCTAAAGAATTGAGCACTTTGTGTTTTCTTCACTGTAAAATGGGGTTGATACCTGCTTATTTTACAGAAGTGTCTGTGAGAATTAGTCTTTAAATCCATGGTATTAGCTATTATTAACTTGAGGAGGTGGTGTGATGGGGTAAGTAGGGCAATTGACCACAGGCTGAAGACCAGTTCTGACCTTGAAGCTCTCATTGACCTCTGTGCTGATAAATCTTTTTGCCTCTTCTGTGCCTTAGATTTGTAAAATCATCAGAGCTCACTTGCTGGAAAAACACTGTGATACAAATGTCATTATTGTGAAATGAAAAACTCTATTTCTGAATAAAATATATTGTAGAAAATTAAATAGCTTCAGCTAAACATGTAGCGATCACTTAAACTTTTTTTTTTGCTATAATGTGTCACTTAGTTTCAGTTATCAAAACTTCTGTTTCCTTTCGCTTAGGGATATGTAACCTATGTGCTCATTCATGCTGAACTAGCATATGTGTAGAATAACTGTTAAGCAATATCTAAATTTAAAGTAGACACTTGAATATTTCTGTATCCAAACTGTAGAGCTGAACTAAAGCTTTCTTAGAGTCTCATTGAATTTGTATGTTTGGAATTTGAAGTAATTCTTTGTATGTGTGTGCATATGCTTAGTTTTCACAGGTCTAGAAACTCATGTTGAGGTAGAATAACAATTATCAGCTTATTCTTATATTTTGAGTTTGAAAATAGATTGAAAATTCGTAAAATTATGAAGAAATCCAGACTTTTCCAACATACATGAGAAAATGTGCAATTTTGGGGAAAAAAGTCCAGAACCTGTAAGATGTTATCTTTCTCACGACATCAAGAGATAACTAACAGCCTTATTTAAGCGTATTTAAATAGGGAAAATTTGTACCTGAAAAGACATTCTCCTTTTATTTAAAAAAAAAAATCAAAGCATGAATTCTCAAAAATCCCTTCTAAAGAGCTCTGTGACATGAAATAATGGATGTTCGAGGAAGTCTTTGTTAAGAGATATCACAGAAGAAATAATGTAAGGTTGAAACTATTAGACATTGATAAAGAACTGTGATTGATTTAATGCTTTTGTTTTTTCAAACGTGTTGCAGATGTGGTAGTGGAGCAGTATAAAACAAAACATCAGGCAAGTGTAAGCACTGAAGCAATTTATACTGAGATTGCAACAGATGCACTGAAACATGCATGATTTTAGTTTCAGCCTTAATGCAGTTAGGACAGTCATATATCATCCTGTCCTAATGCATTTGACTTGCTAATTATAATTTGTATTTTTTATAAGGTTTGGCCTTTCTCATTCTGGAAGGTCATTTCAATGCTTACGAACTGAAAGCAATAAACAGCTTGTTTATTGCTTTAAAAATGTCAGGTGTCTCTCCATGGAAACCAGCTTTCATAGAAATCCTGTGAAGACCAGGGAATTTTAGTTTGCTGCTTAACAGTAAATGAGAAGTAGGCTGCACACCATGCAAGTCAATATGCTTACTTATCACCTCCCCCACATTATTGATTTATGGTCCTACTGACCATGAAGGTGAGTGTTTAGTTAAATTACTTATTACCCACTGATATAGTATGAATATGATTGCTAAATCGTATGGAATTGGTCCGAGACTTACAGCTCTTTAGAACCTTAAATCATAACCTTAAACTGTAGTGTTGTCTCATGTTGTCAGTGGCCACTGCAAAAATAGTCAGGTAAACCATTCAGACACTTATGCATTGTGATCGAAGAGAGGTGTGGGTGCATTGTTGAATAAATAATTAAAATAACTATGAAACTGAGTTACCGAACATGAACCGCACCTGAAATATTTAATAGCATTTGGGATCTTGATTCTCCTTTGTTTATTGATGGTGAATTGTCCCTAGCTTTGTAGGCTTGTGCTGACCTTGCTTAGACACCTACTGTCTTTGCCATGAAAGCAATGTTTTTGCTGTGAGCAGTGAAGCGCATTCAGTGCTTATTGGACACACATTC